AAATTCGGCGGCAATTCGGCAACATTGTATCCTATGGACCTTGGAGTGGGTAAGCTCCAAACTTGGGAATAAACTGCAGCAAGCTGATCTGGGGGCAACCTGTTTGGGGGCCCATAAAATGGTACCCCCTGGTCCAATCGTCTTGAAACTTGGTGGGTATGTTGGGGAGAGGTTCCAGTAAGCACGCTCCACGTTTGGAGCCTCTATCCCAAACCCCCTCCCCCCCAGCCCCCCACAAAGTTTCAAGAGGATTTTTGCCATTGACTTCAATGGCCCCATTGGTTATAATGGACCCGAATTTTTCGGGTTTCCCGAAAAATTTTGGATATCTATGCTTTACCGATATAGATATTCGGGTTTTTTCGGGTTTCCCGAAAAAATTCGGGTCCAATAAACCCGAATCCGAATTTTTCCTTTGTTTTTTTTGCACACCCTTACCTCAAGCAGCAAGTACAGAAAGAATTCTAACTGGCAGCTGGCAGCAAATTGGTGCATTGACTACCAGACTCCTGCAGCAATCAGTTCCCAACAACTTTCTTGCAAAGAAGTGAAGCTTATTGAGACACAGAAGAACGCCAATTATCTTTGCACATCTCCTGTTAGAACTGGCAAAAAACGTGTGAAGCAAGCAGATACACACAATTGTTACAGAGATTTATACCCTGCCCTTCACTACCCAAAGGAGTCTCAGAGCAGCTTACAAACTCCTTCCCCTCTCCACAACAGACACCCCGTGAGGTAGGTGGGTCTGAGAGAGCTCTGACAGAAATGGCTCTGTTTCAAGAGCAGCTCTTATCAGAACTACGGCTTGCCCAAGGACATCCAGCCAGGTGCAAGTGGAGGAGTGGGGAATCAACCCCGGCTCTACCAGATTAGAGTCCGCACACTTGACCACTACACCAAACCACTACAACCAAAGCAACAGCAGTGCCAGTGTATTAGGAATTATTGTTTGGAGCTCATCTGGTATCCTGGGTAGAAAACTCCAAAGCCATGGAGACTCTAGAAAATAGTTTGGGGCCCAGCATTATCATTATAATGGTTTGCACTGGCTCTCAAAAGAATTTGGATTGATACCCTGCCCTTCACTTGGGAGTCTCAGAGCGGCTTACAAACTCCTCTCCCTTCCCCTCCCCACAACAGACACCCTGTGAGGTCAGTGGGGCTGAGAGAGCTCTTTCAAGAACTGCCCCTAAGAGAACAGCTCAGAGAGAACTTGTGACTGAAGAAGAAGAGATTGGATTTATACCCCAGGACCCTTCACTACTCAGAGGAGTCTCAGAGGGGCTTACAGACTCCTTTCCCTTCCCCTCCCCACAACAGATACCCTGTGAGGTCGGTGGGCCTGAGAGCTCTTTCGAGGACTGCCCTTGAGAGAACAGCTCTGAGAGAACTTGTGACTGACCCAAGGTCACACCAGCAGCTGCATGTGGAGGAGTGGGGAATCAAACCCGGTTCTCCCAGATTAGAGTCCGCGCACTTAACCACGACACCAAACTGGCACTAGAGACAAACACTAGAGATGCAGAGAAAAGAAATTTAAAATTCCAGAGGCTCCCCCTCACTCCATGGCAGCTAGACGCCTGGCTGACACATTTCTCAGACTGCGCACTGGAATCCCTATCCCACTTCTTGATGTATTAAAACACGAATGCGCATGCTTCCAGGAGCTAGACGGGCAGAGTGGCAGCTCAGCTCTTACTGGGTACAAGCCAGAGCCTCAGGAGCACCTCTCCATTCGGATGCTCCCATATGCTTGGGCTTCTATGGGGAAACAGAGAATCTGTGTTTCAAAACTGACACAAAAACTACTTGTCCCTGCAAAGGTGTGGAAGGACGGAACTAGTAACAGCAGCATCCCTGAAGAGGAACCATATCAGTAACTACGGGCTAATGTGACTCCTGGGCCGAGTTCAGACTGGCAATTTGAAGCGCTAGGGAGGCGTGGCAAAGAAGACCTGGAACAGACCGGGAACGGCTTCTTCGCAGTATTCCTGTTCACACTGCAGCGAATGAAGCAGGAGGATACCGTGGAGGAAGTGCAAGGGAGCATTCGCACTGTCGGCCCGCCCTTGGCAGGTTGTTAGCGGCTCTTTCTGCGCTCCGCTGCATGCGGAAACAGCCAGCGCCTACTATCAACGACTGCGGGCTGTTCCCGCCTTAGCGGCACTTGCGTTCACACGTCAGGGAACCGGAATCAACCCGCTCTACACACAGTTTGCTACCACTTTCACCTGGTACTTTTAAAACTTAGGAGGGACGGCTGAAGTACGGCTGGGGGATGCCTGACAGATGTGCCTGTGTGAACCCGCCCCTTTAATCTGCTCCTGAAACGCTCCTGAAATGTTTGGCTGCCGGGCCAAACTCCCAGACTGAACTCGGCCCTGGTGTCTCGGCTGAATACATCACAGACGCTGATCTTCCAGGAGAGCACCAGGCAAACTCGAGGAAGGGAAGGCAGGTAGCGCTGCCTCAGGCAAGGCTCTGAAGGAAAAGGCAAGGATGAAGCAGCTACTGGTCAAAACGGGTTCTCACGAAAAGGGTGCGATTGGTTCATGGTCGCCCAAGTGATCTTCCATGGAACGGCGGGGACTCAAACACGGGTCTCCCAGCTCCTGGCCCAACCCTCTAACCACCTCACCACCACTGACTTCAAGAGGCGTGCTTTTACTGCAGGAGACCAGCACAGGTGCCACAGTGGAATGTTTTACTACTGGGAAAATTTACACTCCACATTTCTTCAAAAACAGGGTCCCGACACGGGAGATATGCTTCAGTCTGCGCACAAAACACAGAGTTGGCTAAGTTAGGAAGGGGTTGCGGGGTGAGTGGCGTGCCAAAGCTCCCACGTTCGATCCCCAGCACCTTCCGTTAAAAGGATCTGGTGAAAGGCAACGTGAAAGACCTCCGCCTGAGACCCTGGAGCTGATGCCCAAAAGAGGAGTGAAAAAGAGGAGGCTTGACTCAAGATAACGGGGTTGGGTTATTCACGCGACCAAACTTTAAAACTCAGCTAATAAAGACTGGGGTTAGTTCTATTTATTTATTTCACATAAACCAGTTTGGTGTGGTGGTTAAACGCATGGACTCTAATCTGGGAGAGCCAGGTTTGATTCCCCACTCCTCCACTTGCACCTGGCTGGATGACCTTTAGTTCTGATAAGAGCTGTCCTTGAAAAAAAACAGTTTCTGTCAGAGCTCTCTCACCCCCACCTGCCTCCCAGGGTGTCTGTTGTGGGGAGGGGAAGGGAAAGGAGTTTGTTAAGCCGCTCTGAGACTCCTTTGCGTAGTGGAGGGCGGGGAATAAATGCAATCTCTTCTTCTTCTTCTTCTTCATTACTTATTTATTAAATTTATAGACCACCCTCCACCCAAGTTCTCACAACAGTCATACAAAAGCTCATCGTTCCTGTTTCAAATATATTTGACAGGACCGCAGGCAGCCGTGTTTATTTACTTTACCAGATAATCTGCTGCCGACAAGGAAGCCCCGGACTGGATCCTTTGGATCCGCCTCGCACTGGATCCTTTTGCACTGGACTGGGTCACTGGGATCCACTCCACTAGCAGTGGCACCCTCCTCCAGGCTGAGGTTCCATGAGCGGGAGGAAACCACTGCCATTGGGCGGAACGGCTTCCGTGGGGTGCGCAACCTACGGCTTTAATTCCAAGCACTCCGATCCTCACCTCCTCCTTCTTCTTTGGATCAGACATGGGGTTCCTGAAGAGCGGAGAGTCCCCGAAAGGCGAGTAAGTCAGGCTGTTGAGGTGCTGCTGAAGAATGGCTTGCTGGGCGGCTGAGGCATTCGGGTCTGTCAGAGCTGCAGGCAAGCAAAGGAAAGATTACCGCGTGGGCTCTCACCCCCGACAACAGAACTGCCAGAAGGCAAATAAGGAGCCGTGACTGTACGGATGGGCATGCCCGGGAGCGATGCCTCATCCCACTAGCTGAGGGTTGCCAGCTCCGGACACTTTGGGGGGCGGAGCCTGAGGAGGGCGGGCTTTGGGAAGGGGAGGGACTTCAAGGGGCGGTCGTGCCATACACAGTCCACCTTCCAAAAGCGGCCATTTTCTCCAGGGGGACTGATCTCTGTCGCCCGGAGATCAGTTGTAATCCCAGGAGATCTCCAGCCGCCACCTGGAGATCTTTACAGAAAGAGAGATCACGGGATGATGAACTCAATAAACAAATGCAATAGGACTAGGACTGTAGGTGTCTGAAACCGAGCGGAAGTGGGGCTACAGCAGGAACGGAGCCACACCCCGGCACACGGGGGGCCCCTCTCCTTTTCACAGGCTATGTCCTTTGCAAGTCAGTCAGAGACCCGATTGCTCCAGAGATAAATCGAGGTTTATAAGATCATGCATGGGATAGAGCAGGTAAGAGAAAGGAGGGCGGGGTAAAAATCTGAATAATAATAAACAAACAAACAAACTCGTGGGCACTCCATGAAATTGCTGAGCAGTCGGGTGAGAACGGATAAAAGGAAGGACTTCTTCACCCAAAGAGTGATGAACACATGGAATTCACTGCCACAGGAGGTGGAGGCGGCTACAAGCATGGACGGCTTCAAGAGGGATTTGGACAAACATATGGAGCAGAGGTCCATCAGTGGCTCTTAGCCACAAGGTATAGATAGGGACTCTCTGTCTGGGGCAGGTGATGCTCTGTCTTCTCGGTGCTTGGGGGGGGGACAGTGGGAGGGCTTCTAGTGTCCTGGCCCCACTGCTGGACCTTCTGCTGGCCCCTGGTATTTTTGGCCACTGTGTGACAGAGTGTTGGGCTGGATGGGCCATGGGCCTGATCCAACATTGGCTTCTCTTATGTTCTTATAGCAACTCTCAGTCTGGGGCAGGTGATGCTGTGTATTATTGGTGCTGGAGGGGGGCAACAGTGGGAGGGCTTCTAGTGTCCTGGCCCCACTGCTGGACCTCCTGGTAGCACCTGGTATTTTTGGCCACTGTGTGACACAGAGTGTTGGACTGGATGGGCCATTGGCCTGATCCAACATTGGCTTCTCTTATGTTCTTATATGGAGCAGAGGTCCATCAGTGGCTATGAGCCACAAGGGATAGATAGGAACTCTTGGTCTGGGGCAAGGGATGCTCTGTCTTCTTGGTGCTTGGGGGGGGCAACAGTGGGAGGGCTCCTAGTGTCCTGGCCCCACTGCTGGACCTCCTGAGGGCACCTGGTATTTCTGGCCACTGTGTGACACAGCATGTTGGACTGGATGGGCCATTGGCCTGATCCAACATTGGCTTCTCTTATGTTCTTATATGGAACAGAGGTCCATCAGTGGCTCTTAGCCACAAGGTATAGATAGGAACTCTTGGTCTGGGGCAAGGGATGCTCTGTCTTCTTGGTGCTTGGGGGGGGGGCAACAGTGGGAGGGCTCCTAGTGTCCTGGCCCCACTGCTGGACCTCCTGAGGGGCACCTGGTGTTTCTGGCCACTGTGTGACACAGAGTGTTGGACTGGATGGACCATTGGCCTGATCCAACATTGGCTTCTCTTATGTTCTTATATGGAGCAGAGGTCCATCACTGGCTATTAGCCACAAGGTATAGATAGGAACTCTCAGTCTGGGGCAAGGGATGCTCTGTCTTCTTGGTGCTTGGGGGGGGGGCAACAGTGGGAGGGCTTCTAGTGTCCTGGCCCCACTGCTGGACCTCCTGATGGCCCCTGGTATTTTTGGCCGCTGTGTGACCCAGAGTGTTGGACTGGATGGGGCCATTGGCCTGACCCAATGTTGGCTCCTCTTGTGTTCCTGTGACTTAGGGCGGGATACTGGACCTTCTGTCAAAGGGCAGGATCTCCTCTCTCTTAGGATTGTGGATTCACACTTACCCACAGCAGGCTGGGGAGCTCCAAAGCCGAGACCAGCTGCCGCCGTGTTAAATCCAGGAGCCCCAAACGCTCCTGTCCCCAGAGTGCCTCCCAGTTTGGGCTGTGTGCTCCCGAATAACGACGTCTGCCCTGCATTAAGGGCTACAGGAAGGGGGGAAAGAGACACAAAGCGGAAAAAAAGAAAGAGTTTGGAGAAAGCCATCAAAACCCGCAAGACCTCCACCCCCAAACCTCTAAGTCTTGCATTGCAAAAAGAGTAATCCACGTCTTGCTCTAGCTGCAAGGGCAAGTTTTAAAATAATCAATGCTATTAAAACCTGGCCAATCATCCCCAGGGTTTAATATTAAAATGGGGGGGAGGGGTGTGCTCACAAGAGGCCCCACCCACCTCTACCATTTTTGCATGCAAGGAAAGGAGGATATGGTGCAAGCTAATTTTTTTAAAACCTAGGGGGGAGGGGAGGGGAGGCTGAGGAGCCCACACAACAACGTCGTCAGCTACAGCTAGAGATGAGAAGGCCCGGAAAAAAACCAGACAAATTCGGGGGGGAAACGTTCCCCCCCCCCATTTTTCCCCTGAAGCCTTTTCTGTTTTTTTCCGAAAAACTGGAAAGAGAAAAGGGAAAAAAATGATTATGGAACATTTTATTTTAACATGATGAATAAAATATTTTAATACAAGCTGTTCAAATATTTTCCAAATCATTTCTAAAAAAAATATGTACGGTATCAGATTGAGCCAATTTCTGAGGACACTGAGGACAAGCAAGTCCTAGGTTACAAACTGAACTCTCCAATGCAAGAACAAGATGCATTTCTTCCTTTAGGAGGTGCTACTTGTCATAAGAAAAGAAAAAGGTTTCAGTTTTGTCTTTGCATGGGGGTGGGTATTCTGTTTGTAAGAAATGTTTGGATACACTATATTTTTAATATGCTAGTTGTGATAATTTCATGCCAAGTAAAAATGTCCATAGTCATACTTTAAGATCCTAAAGTAACAGAATGACTTTCAATCTGGAAAAGAAGAAAGAAGTGCTAATGTAGCATTTTTTTTCAATTTTCCCGAAAATTTCCATTTTCCCCACACACAAAAACCACGGAAATAAACTGGGTTTTTTTCCGAGCTTCTGGAAATTTTACATCTCTAGCTACAGCACAGCTAGGTTCGCGTCCAGCAGCAGAAACCAACAAGATTGGGGGGTTAGAAGGCACTCTGGACTCACATCTCACTGTTCTAACGCAGAACAACATGGCTGCCCCCCATGAGTCAACCTTCACGGAAGCAACACCACAACTATCCTAATGCGTGCCCAAATGCAATCAATGACAAAATGCCATGACACGCACACCAACTGGAATGAACTCCCTTAACTACAACAGTTATACACACTGCCTCATTGAAGGCAATTTGCTATTCATATTACCCAAAGGCTGATGACAGAGAAAATTACAATTCTGCCTGTTGGAATAGCATCTGAAGCAGTGTTCCCTCTAAGCTGAGTTAGTGTGAGCTAGCTCAGTTTTTTAGCCTCCGGCTCACACATTTTTGTCTTAGCTCAGGAAGGAGGGCTCCACAGCAAACTGATTGATGCAGGAGCCAAATCGCTGGCTCACAACTTTAATGCCAGTAGCTCACAAAGTAGAGTTTTTGCTCACAAGACTCCACAGCTTAGAGGGAGCACTGCTGAAGAAGCTCTATTTATTTATCAACAGTAAGACCGACAGAGGGGGAGATACAAGGCCACGGGATTTTGAAGGCAGGAAAGCCGAGGCAGACCGATGAAGACACGGGAACTGAATTGTGATAGGGTGGCACGTGAGCGCGGGGATTGAATAATGGAGGGAGGAGAAAAAACGGCAGGGCAAAGAAGGGGGGGGGGGAAAGGGTCTTGATGGGCCACCGCTCACTACGGACCTGCGATGGGACACGGAACCCCCACCGAGGGTGCCCGGCGTGCGGATGAACTGCCCCCGTCGGGGCTAGAGAGAGGGGACCGCATTCCCGGGACGCCAATCTTCTCATTCTTTACCTGTCCCAAATCCAGTTCCAAGTCCAGTTCCCAGAGCCCCAGCCGCAGGCTTGTTTCCAAACAGGCTATTTCCAGTGGTGTTTGCCCCAAAGCCTACATGCAAAGAACAGTCAGTGGGCTCCTTTGCCACCCAGCCCCCTTCCCTTCTCTGGGGCTGGTGCAAAAGAGCAGGGCCTTGGGTCCGCTCACCCTCAGGTAGCACGACGTGGGCAATTCTGGCCTGGCCTGCTTCCCCCCCCACCCCCCACCCACCCCCTGAACAAGCGCCCCACTGGCTTAACATTTTATTGGCAACAATAATGGACTCTCTGACTTCACTTTTGGGGCTGTGCAAATCAGATATATAGTAAACCAGGGGTGTCGAACTCATTTGTTGAGGGCCGGATCTGACATGAGACCTAGTTGGGCCAGGCCACGTGCGTCATAAAATGTAATGCCAGGTAGCGGAGATATAAACTTGATAAGGGACACAAACACAAAGGGCTCTTTTTACTTAAAATAAAAACATGCTTAAAACATCAGCACTCTTGCAATATTTTGTCTATTTAACAGTCTCTGATAACTGACACCTCTTGCTCTAGATTATTGCATCAAAATGTCTGTGCTGCTGCAATCTTGAGCATACTGTTCAGGTGTGTCGCTGTAAGCTGCAAACCTACTTTTGACCTATTGACATTCGCCACAGAAATTTCAAGCTCAGAGTTCTGAGTCTGGGACCCAGGTTGAAACACGAAACGGCTGAGAGATTTGAGAGAGTCTGGGGAAGCAAGCTGGGATGCAGCAGCAGCAGAACTGGAAGCAGGAGAGGGCCAGTTCCACTGCGGGCCTGATGGAAGCCCTCCGGGGGCCTCATCCGCCCCCCGGGCCGCATGTTTGACACTCCTGTAGTAAACAGTCCTTCCATTGGCAATTGCAACTGATCTTGCACTCTGGTTGCCAGAATACTGGAAAATTAATGGTTTGTAAAATTCATTTAGGCAGAGGAAAAAATTATTTAGTAATTGAACCAAAACCAGCAGAGCGCCAGGCCGTCTCTCGTACCTCTCTTATGTGCAGGGAGTTTCTTTCTACCTCTCCTGTTCTCTTTCACGTAATCATAAGGACAGAACAAGCCAGGGGTCCCCAACACAGTGCCCTTGGGCACTGTGGTGCTCGCCGGGACCTTTCCTGGTGCCCATCGACTGTTTCCAGGAAAGGATCCGGGTCAGGTGGAGCTTTTACCCAGCCAGGCTTCTGATTGGCTGCGCGGATCTTTTTTTTAAAAAAAAAGTTGCTTTGGCAGCAGCCACCACCACAGCCAAGCATCTACACTATGTAACTGAAGTTAAGCCGTGGCAATTATTTTGTGGCTGACTCTACCTGCTACAGCGGCCATTTTGTGGTGGCCACCAGGCCCTGTCAGAATCCCAAATGTGCCCACAAGCTCAAAAAGCTTGGGGACCCCCTGGAATAAGCTACCGCAGTTATACTTATTGGCCTCGTATTTACTGGATGCTACAATGTATGGAGCTGCGGTGGCTCAAGTGGTTAAGACGCTGAACTGCAGGCTCTGGAAGGTCAATAGTTCAGCAGTTCGAGACCCGAGTGTGCCGCATGACGGAGTGAGCTCCCGTCTCTAGTTCCAGCTCCTGCCAACCTAGCAGTTCGAAAGCAAGAAATTGCAAGTAGATAAAGAGGTACCACTACAGTGGGAAGGTAACAGCGTTCCGTGCACCTCGGTGTTTAGTCATGCCGGCCACATGACCAAGGAAATGTCTTTGGACAGCGCTGGCTCTTCGGCTTTGAAATGGAGATGAGTCGGATTCGACTAGAGTCGGATTTGACTGGCTTTCGAGCAAGGGAACCTTTACCTTTTTACAATGTACAAACTGCAATTTTCTTTTTAAAACATTTTTTAATTTACATAATTTTTAACTGAATCATCGTTTTATGAGGCTTCGGTACCGTATTTGTGCATTACACGACTGATTCCCCCGAAGCCTGTTGGTGAAACGGGTGGGGAATTTTCAACTGAGTAATAAAATATATTTTCCCCTTTACACGCACTATTGTTGGCCTTATTTTTATCTCTGCTTTCTTCCTGGGCAAACATGCCACAAAGTCTTTTCGAGAAGATGCACCGCTATTCTGGAAAAAAACAGCATTTGCTGGCGTTAAAATAGAAGCGCTGCGTAAGCGGTTCTCGTGCCATTCATGTCCACGCGGAGGAGGGCCCCTCACACAGACAGCAGGCCCAGCTGAGCCTTAACCGCTGCAGGGAGGGGGGGGGACGTTCCTCATGAAGTCCTCCCTCTCCTTCCTCAAAGTGTGCGGGACGTGTCCACAGGAGAGGAAAGCGGCAGAAATCCTCTCGGGGGACAAGGAAGGGGGGCCCCCAGAACCTGTCTCGTGCTCTCCGCTGCATTCTTCCCCTCTTCTCTTCACTGACAGGGGGACAAGTGTGCTGTGCTGCTTGGCCTGACAAGCCCGCGGCTGGCCTTGCTTTGTTTGGGAAGGCCTGTGCAGTTTTGCACTGGCTTGAGGAAAGCCCACTACGGCAAAATAAAGAATCCCTGACAGACTGGACCTGTCAATATTACTTGGCCTGTGCAAAAGAACATCCTATCAGCCAAGAAACAAAGATCCACTGAGCAAGGGAGGGGCCGTGGCTCAGCGGCAGAGCCTCCGCTTGGCATGCAGAAAGTCCCAGGTTCGATCCCCGGCAACTTCAGTTAAAGTTGTTGTAGATTTTCCGGGCCGTATGGCTGTGGTCTTGGCACTGTAGGACGTGATGTCTCGCCAGCAGCTGTGACTGGCATCCTCAGAGGTATAACAAGGTGACAGCCCGGAAAATCTATAGCAACTAACTTTCCTAGAATGCCTCCTCTGAGGATGACTGCACAACCCCTTTTCAATCTACACCCGTCAAAAGATTTAAACAAATGCACTGAAATCGGAAGAACTGTTTTGGTTACCGAAAAGGCTGCCCGTCGTCGTTCCGAAGGAAGGCGCGCTGGTGGTCGTGGTTCCAAATCCAGCGGGCTTGTTGCTAAAAAGGGACTGGAAGGAGAAAAAACACACACACGCCTTGGCTTAGCAGAACGCCAGACAGTCACCAATGGTCATGTGTACAGTCTCTGTTGCTGATAAAAGATCTGGGACATGCAGGGCTTTTTTTGTAGAAAAAGCCCAGCAGGAACTAATTAGCATAACAGGCCACCTGGAACTCATTAGCATAACAGGCCACACCCAACAGCAGGAATTCATTAGCATAGTAGGCCACACTCTGACAGCACAGCATATTAGGCCACACCCCCATGTCACCAGAAGTGTTGTCGTCCAGCCACACCCACCTTTTGCTTCTTATTTTGTTTGTTGTCCAAATCCAGGGCTTTTTTTGTAGCAGGAACTTCTTTGCATGTTAGGCCACACCCCCCAATGTAGCCAATCCTAATGAGTTTCTGCTGTTGGGTGTGGCCTATTATGCTAATGAGTTCCTGCTGGGCGTGGCCAACTCAGGAGCCAGCCGGAACTCCGTTCCTGTGCGTTCCTGCCCAAAAATAGCCCTGGGACATGCATCACCATCTGAATGGAATACTTGGGATGGTTCTTAAAAATCAGATCCAGTGAAGGAGATCCCCCCCTCCAACTTTTTAAAAGCCAAGGAGGGTAAAAATGTCCTGAGGCACGGTGGGGGGGGGAGCATGCAGAAAGGGCACTAAAATCTTCACCGCCTTCCTTCTGCTAGTAGACGAAACACAACAGAGCAAAGACAGAAGGGAAGCAGGTTTACTCAAATCCACCTCCTCGCTGGAGCAGACCCTGCCACATCTTGTTTAGAATCATAGAATCATGAGAGTTGGAAGGGACTCCAGGGTCATCTAGTCCAACCCCCTGCACAAGGCAGGAAATTTACAAATACCTCCCCCCACACCAGTGTTCTCTCTAAGCTGAGTCAGTGTGAGCTGGCTCACGGTTTTTAGCCTCCAGCTCACACATTTTTGTCTTCGCTCAGGAAGGAGGGCTCCAGAGCAAGCTGATTTCTGCAGCAGCCAAATCGCTCGCTCACAAAGCAGAATTTTTGCTCACAAGACTCCACAGCTTAGAGGGAGCATTGCACCACACCCCCAGTGACTCTTGTTCCTTGCCCAGAAAAAAAGCTCCCAGAGAGGCACAGAGAAGCATATCACCCCCAGAGAAACCCAGCTCATGTTTGTGACCCCAACTGCCAAAAGTTTTGTTATCAACTTATCAGGTTTGGCGTTATTGAACAAAAACCTTCTCAAATACTGCCCCAAACCAAATTCCTGGCTTTGTTTATGTATTCTGAGTGACCACAAACCTAAGCCTGCATGGTTCCCACCAGACCCATGCAAAGAGACACAAACCAACATATTCTGCAGGATTTATTTTCATTTATTTTACTTAAATCCCGCCTTTCTCCCGAATGGAGACCCAAAGCAGCTGACATCAATCTTCTCTCCATCGATAAATACCAACTGGGGAAGTCACTATCATAGGTAAAATAATTATATTGAAAGTGTATTATAAGTATTACAAATATAAATACATAAATTATAAATCCAAAATTATACAAATCCGCAATACACTTTTCACAGGTTATTTCACAGGTATTTTTCTTTCCATAGGTTATTTCGCAGGTTATTTAACGAAGAGTCCGGCTTCATTTCGAGGAAAAACTTCATCAGAAGTGATTAACACCATACATGTTGTGCAATTATTTCTTGTTATTCAGGAATACAGGATACTCCTTAAGTTGCTTTACTGGGACTAGCCCTTGTATTTCCTTAGGCTTGAACACTTATTATTAATGGGCAAACATCTGTAACTGTATGCTGTAAGCTTCAAATCTGAAGGAAGCCTAAGGAAATACAAGGGCTAGTCCCAGTAAAGCAACTTAAGGAGTATCCTGTATTCCTGAATAACAAGAAATAATTGCACAACATGTATGGTGTTAATCACTTCTGATGAAGTTTTTCCTCGAAATGAAGCCGGACTCTTCGTTAAATAACCTGCGAAATAACCTATGGAAAGAAAAATACCTCTGAAAGAACCTGTGAAAAGTGTATTGCGGATTTGTATAATTTTGGGTTTATAATTGAGAGTCCCTTGGACTGCAAGAAGAAGAAATCAGTCAATCCTAAAAGAAATCAACCCTGACTGTCCCCTGGAAGGCCAGATAATGAAACTGAAGCTCAAATACTTTGGCCACCCAATGAGAAGGGAGCACTCGCTGGAGAAGACCCTGATGCTGGGAAAGACTGAAGGTCAAAGAAGACAGGGACGGCAAAGGATGAGATGGTTAGACAGTGTCATAGATGCAACGAACATGAAATTGAGCAAACTTCAGAGGGCGGCGGAAGACAGGAAGGCCTGGCGGGAGCTGGTCCATGGGGTCGTGAAGAGTCAGACTCGACTGTGCGACTGAACAACAATAATTTATGTATTTATATTTCTAATACTTGTTGTATACTTTCAATATAATTATTTTGCGTAGGATAGTGACTTCCCCAGTTAGTATTTATTGATTTTGATATACTGGGAAGGTCTTTGTGGTGGATGTTGATCAATCTCCTCTCCTCCATTTTATTCTCACAACAGCCCTGTGAGGTGGATGAGGTTCAGAGAGTGTGACGGGCCCAAGGTCACCCAGACAGCTTCCGCGGCAAAGCGGGGATTCGAACCCGAGTCCCTCAGACCCTAGCCTAACACTCTGAAGCCCTACACTGGCTCTCTTTCAGCTTTACATTACCCCAAGCAGCCGCCTTCAGGCCACCTCCAGAGAAGCCCCCCCGGGGCTCTTGCATGACCCAACGGAAAAGGCAGTCTGGAAGTCTGCAACGAGCGAGGAAGGGCAAGCTAATCGGCCCTCCCTTAGGACTGCGTTACTCCCCACTGGCATACCGAGCCGCCAACGCCAAAGCCGGTGTTGGGTTGTCCGAAGAGGCCCGTCCCGGTTCCAAAGGCGGTCGCGGTGTTCGTATTTGCAGCGGTTCCAAAAAGGCCTCCGGTCTGCGAGGGCTGCGTTGCTCCAAACAAGCCCTGCGGACATTAGGGGGATGTCTGAGAAAGAGATGCTCCAACATACCCCTTTCCCCCCCTCCTCAAAAGTACAGATAAACAGCGGCTCTGGTTATCGGATACAGTACAACATGAAGACACAACAAGGGGATGTGTATTTGCTCCCGGTGGCAACTATCAAGGACGCCGAAAGGGGACAAATTTAAGAACGGCAAATCAAATTCAGAAAAGGCAAGACGGGCAAATATTAGATCAGAGGCAGCTCTGACAGCCAAGCAGAAAACATTGCTCCATCTGAGCTGTGAAATGGCAGAAAGTACCAAAAGGAGTTACGGATAAAAGGAAGTCCTTCGTCACCCAAACAGTGATGAACACGTGGAACTCACTGCCACAGGAGGTGGCGGCGGCTACAAGCATGGACGGCTTCAAAAGGGAATTAGATAGGCATATGGAGCAGAGGTCCATCAGTGGCTCTTAGCCACAAGGTATAGATAGGGGCTCTAGGGCAAGTGATGCTCTGTCTTCTTAGTGCTTGGGGGGGGGGCAACAGTGGGAGGGCTTCTAGTGTCCTGGCCCCACTGCTGGACCTCCTGATGGCCCCTGGTATTTCTGGCTCTGTGTGAACCAGAGTGTTGGACTGGATGAGCCTTTGGCATATCAAACACTGGCTTCTCTCTTATATTCTTATATGGAGCAGAGGTCCATCAGTGGCTCTTAGCCACAAGGTATAGATAGGAACTCACAGGCTGGGGCAAGGGATGCTCTGTATTTTTTTGGCCACTGTGTGACACAGAGTGTTGGACTGGATGGGCCAATGGCCTGATCCAACATTGGTTTCTCTCTTATGTTCTTATGGAGCAGAGGTCCATCAGTGGCTATTAGCCACAAGGTATAGATAGGAACTCTCAGGCTGGGGCAAGGGATGCTCTGTATTCTTGGTGCTGGGGGGGGGGTCAACAGTGGGAGGGCTCCTAGTGTCCTGGCCCCACTGCTGGACCTCCTGACGGCACCTGGTGTTTTTGGCCACTGTGTGACACAGAGTGCTGGACTGGATGGGCCACGGGCCTGATCCAACATTGGTTTCTCTCTTATGTTCTTATGGAGCAGAGGTCCATCAGTGGCTATTAGCCACAAGGTATAGATAGGAACTCTCAGGCTGGGGCAAGGGATGCTCTGTATTCTTGGTGCTTGGGGGTGGGGGCAACAGTTGGAAGGGCTTCTAGTGTCCTGGCCCCACTGCTGGACCTCCCAATGGCACCTGGTACTTTTGGCCACTGTGTGACACAGTGTGTTGGACTGGGTGGGCCACTGGCCTGATCCAACCTTGGCTTCTCTTAGGTTCTCATGCTGTTCACACGCAGAGATCTCCCTGAATGGCAGCCACAGCTTGGCCCCTCAGCCCAAAGCAATGGAAACTTAAAGCAGCACTCACTGGAACATCACATAAGGCGTCACTGCCTCTGGTGACAATGGCCACTTTCCAAAGCTGCCCAGGACCACTAAGGTCTTCAAGCTCAGCAATTCATTCCCCACGTTCCCACCCAGCCCTTACTATTTGTGCCTGAAGACAGGAGAGAACTCCCTTCAAAACAGGCTTGTTTTCCCTCCTGCCACGCAAAGCATCCAACAATACAGTGAGACTGCACTACCCGAACAAAGGAATCTGTCACAGAAGTTTCATTCTCGGTAAGGTTGGATCCTACAGCTGCTTTCTGTCCATGCAAGGGCACTTCTGCCAAGGTGTTTGTATGTGTGTGTAATGATTCCATTTTCGGTGTGTGTGTTTCTTTAAATGTTTAGTCTGACTGCAGTAACGTAAGGAGAGTGATGGAGGGAGATAAGTGTGATGTGCTTGGCTGATGACTGAGAGTGTGGGAGGAGAGAAGTCTCTGAGAGGATTCTGTGTGTGAAGTTTGGAGAGAGCACGTAGTCTGTGTGACTATGAGAGCTGAGAGTCTATTCTGTGTGAATAAGACAAACAGTTTAGCCTGTGTGGCTATATATATATATATATATGAGAGACAGAGATTAGACTGAGTGTCTAATTCTGTCAGAGTGGAGTTGTGGAGTTTGAGAGACTGTATGTGATACCAAGCTTTCCCAGTTGTATTTACAAGTTCCTTTCTTCAGCAACAGTTCAAAATAACCAGAAACCTATTCTGTTCTTTATTAAATAAATCATTTTTTGCTTAAACTTATCCCAGCAATCAGAATAGTCCTTCCTCAGAGCCACATAGTCCTCTGAAGTGCCCAGACCCTGGGGTCATTCTACCACAATAGAGAGATTTGGGATATTTTATTCCTGGTGGCAGCAGAAATCTACCAAGTTCATGTACAAAGAGTGTGTTTTAAAGGAGAAACAGTCTCCCCCATAAGGAGGACGCCACAGTGTGTGTGTCCACAGTTCTTCATTCCCAGTGCAGATGAGTACATCATACCCAGAGCTAATCTTGGGTGAGCCAGAACAGGTCAATCCTGTGACCAGAGCTCAGGGATCCAACCGGTGTCGTATATCTAAAAGCAACAGGGGCCCTTCAATGCACAGATCAAGAAATCTCTTTGCCCAAAAATATTAGAAGGATGTTAAATTATCGGGCGGGGTTCGTCCCCTCTCTGTAAAATGCTAGTGATCTCTGCACACATGCAGACAATGTGAAGGAAAAACCAAGTGTAATAAAAGGGGGAGGTTGAGGGGGAGTGATTGACAGAATGGCTGAGAGAAAGCCAGCAGACTGGGTGGGAGGACGAGACGGGTGTCTGCACATATTATAGAGAAAACCAGACTCACTGCCTGTCTGACATGGCCAGGATAGGGAAGAAAGCAGGAGGCAGAGAGCAAGAGGGGAGGGGAAAGAGGAGGAGGGAAGAGGAAGAGGAGACTGGATTTATATTCCACCCTTCATGCGGAGCGGCTAAGAATCGCCTCCCCCTCCCCACAACAGACACGCTGGGAGGCAGGTGGGGCTGAGAGAGCTCTTTCGAGGACTGCTACTGAGAGAACAGCTCTGAAAGAACTTGTGACTGAGCCAAGGTCACACCAGCAGCTGCATGTTGGAGGAGTGCGGAATCAACCCCGGTTCTCCCAGATCAGAGCCCGCGCTCCTTACCCACTACACCAAACTGGTCGGAGCAAATGCGGGACGGGCAGAGCAAGCAAAAGGCAGGGGAAGCAGACACAGGGGAAGGGAACTCCAATGCCTCAACGAGTCCCTGCAGCTCCCCCACTTGCCTTGTTATGTAGCTAATACAAATATTGACACCCGAGTCCATAACGCTACCCAATGACAGGAACAGAGAACTGTCTGGCAGCACCTGAGGCAGCAGCAGCGCTGCCGAACTAACAGTGGGAGGATAGGCCTGCTCCCGGCATGGATAGGAGGCTTCTGGAAGCCCCACTGAAGCCCCCTCTGAGCTCCCTGTGGACTGGGCACTAATCCAATCAAAAGGGAATGCATCTCCACAGAGCCAGAGCATCAGCTGGGCTTCCCCTGTCTTTTGTTTGACAGTCTGAAGCGAAAACAGGCTTTGCTGATGTTTTGCCAACTTTGCAATAAACAGTTCCGCAGCTACAGGAGGCTCACTGGGTCAAAGCCCTGGCTAGCAGAAAGTACACATCGTGAGACACATGAAGGGGTTCACAGCCCCTGCCATCTCCACATTGCAAGTGGCATCAATGGCGGGCTGAGAAAGTCTGCGGTGCTCCTGAGCAGCTGGCTGAAAAGGGCACGGAAAGCTTGCTGGGCCGTTTGAGCAGGGAGGCTGTGACGTCCTCGCTTATTGGGGAGACGGTTTTACCTTTAAAACACACAGTCTGTGTACATGAACTTGGTAGATTTCTGCTGCCACCAGGAATTAAACATTCCAAATCTCTCTCTTTTGGTGGAGTGACGCGGGGTCTGGGCACTTCAGAGGACTATGTGGCCCTGAGGAAAGACTATTCTGATTTCTGGGATAAGTTTAAACAAAAAATGATTATTTATTTATTTATTAAAGAATTAAAGAACAAAATAGGTTTCTGGTTATTTTGAACTGTTGCTGATGAAAGGAACTTTCATCATGGCAAAACTTTGGTGTCACAAACAGTCTCTCAAACTCCCCAAACTCCACTCTGACAGGCATAGACACTCAGTCCAATCTCTCTCTCTCTCTCATCTATATAGCCACACAGGCTGAACTCTTTAGTCTTATTCCCGCAGAATAGACTCAAAAACTATGCTCTCTCTTCAAACTTCACACACAGAATCCTCTCATAGACATCTCTCCTTCCACACTCTCAGTCATCCGCCAGTCACATCACTTATCTCCCTCTACCACTCTTCTTACAATACTACAGAGGCATCCGAGGAAGAGTTCTTGCAGGTCATTTTTGGTGGAATGGTGCAGAATCAAGACACAAAAGAGGGTTTTCAGGGCAGCTGCAGCCTTCGTCACACCTACCATGGTGTTCGTATTGGGCTGTCCGAGGGTGCCCGTGTTGCCAAACGAAAAGCCGGTGTTCTGCGTTGTCGTCACCTGGCCAAAGGGCTTGTTGAAAAGGCTGGTTGTTTGCTGCGGCTGCCCAAAGAGGCCCCCTGTCCCTGCTCCAAAACCTGTCGTGGCTGGAATGGAGAAGAAGAGGTGAAAGCACACTGTTATTTGCCCCAATATAGCAGGGTAAACGGCATCTCAGTGTTGCATTTTTAAAAACCTGTTTTTACGTTTACCGGGGAAATACAAGTAGGAGAGGCAAAGAAACAAGGGATGAAGATGAGCCGGTGTAGTTAAACACGGGGTTTGCTTTGGTCGGGGGGGGGGGTGAGGAAGAACAGAGGGACAGGACAAAACTCCACAGGAAGGAAGGAAGGATCTGAAGGCAACTGGCTCCGTACCAGTCTTCCACACCGGGATGGGAAACACCAGCGTGGGAGGGTGCACAGGATGACTTTGAGCAGCTGAGAGGGACTGTGTACAGTTCTGGTCACCACACCTCAAAAAAGGATATTATAGCATTGGGGAAAGTGCAGAGGGGCAACTCGAATGATAAAAGGGTTGGAACACTTTCCCTGCGAAGAAAGGTTAAAGCGCTTGGGGCTCTTTAGCTCGGAGGAATGACGGCTGAGGGGTGACATGATCGAGGTTTATAAGATGATCCGTGGGATAGAGCAGGTCGAGAAAGAGGTACTTTTCTCCTTTTCTCACAATACGAGAACTCGTGGGCACTCCATGAAATTGCTGAGCGGTCGGGTTAGAACGGACAAAAGGAAGTCCTTCTTCATCCAAAGCGTGATGACAAGCATGGACAGCTTCAAGAAGGATCACAGAATCATAGAATGTTAGAGTTGGAAGGGACCTTGCAGGTCATCTAGTCCAACCCCCTGCACTCTGCAGGAATTAGATAAATATATGGAGCAGAGGTCCATCAGTGGCTATTAGCCCCAAGGTATGGATAGGAACTCGGGGGCAGGTGATGCTCTGTATTCTTGGTGCTTGGGGGGGGGGGTCAACAGTTGGAAGGGTTCTGGGGTTCTGGCCCCACTGCTGGACCTCCTGATGGCACCTGGTATTTTTCAGGTTTCAGGCTAATTCTTATACAATTTTTTGAGTACGCTACTGCGCTTAGCCAATTACTATATGCTGTAGACCCAGTCACATTAGAGCTTGCTATAGGAGCTCCCCAGTCACCAGAATCTAAGTGCAGTAGCGTACATTAAAAAACTGTATAAGAATTAGCATTTTGAAATATGGCTTGCGGCACTTCATTCTAATGAAGAAATAATTACAGAATGACAAACCTGAAGAAGGACACGCAAACGGATAGTGTACTAGAACGCCGTCGTTTGTCTGTAACTAGTACTGTATTACTCTGTATGTACTGCTAAGCTTTATATCGCATATTGTAGTGTTATTGTTGTAATTTTGTTAATCATTGAATTCTAAACATTGCATATAAAAACCAACAAATATTGCTTAATTGTACACGGTGATTTACTGTTTTACTAGCTATTATACACCGTGGTCCTGTTTGTTGTAATGGCCCTATCTTGCAGCTGCAGACCGAGACAGAAGAGGAGCCAGACCCATTGGCACTTACTGGTTCCAAAGCCCGTTTTATTCTGTCCGTACGAAAAGCCGGTGTTCGTGGTGGAGGAGCCAAAGAGACCTGTGGCAGCACTGGACGTAGCTGTAGACGATCCAAACAGCCCGGGGGTTGTTCCAGCTCCTACAGGGTTGGTGGGTCCTTTGCGGTTGGCTTGATAATCTTCCAAGCGAAGTTCCTGAAGAAGACAGAATTCTTAGGCACCATCACAACACACGGGACAGCCCCACTTCTTCTCCATAAAAGATTAAAAAACGGAGAAGAAAGAAGGGGCTGGGGGGGGGGCAAGGCCAAACTGAGGTAACCGGCAACTTCCCACTCAACAAAAAACAACTTTTTTTTGGAGTTTTTGAAGAACAAACGAAGAAAGGCTAAGAAATAATAAGAAAACTGAGGAGAAATCCGAAGAGCCGTGAGGCAAATAGCCAAAAAAGAGAACCGAACAGACCGAGGAAGAAAAGGTCTTTCCAATGCGGCGGTAAGAAAGGAACTGGTGGGCTGTCTGTGCCCACCCCTCTGGGCATGCGCGGTGGGGTTCCTGCGCATGCCCGAGGTCTGGGCGCGAAAATCCGTTAACAGCTTGCTACAATGCCGATCGATCCAGCGCGTGCGCCCTAGATCCCATGGGTGTGAAGCACATAGACAACGTCGAAGATGCTGCCTTACACTGAATGAAACCCTTGGCCATTGATACCACTTGTAATGATTCCATTTTCAGTGTGTGTGTTTCTTTAAATGTTTAGTGTGGCTGCAGTAACGTAAGGAGAGTGATGGAGGGAGATGGGTGTGATGTGACTGGCTGATGACTGAGAGTGTGGGAGGAGAGAGGTCTCTGAGGTGATTCTGTGTTCTGGAAGAGTTGTGTGTGGAGTGTTTGTGTGAGGATCTGTATGACAGAGGAAGCAGCTGGAGTTTAGTTTAGCCTGTTCGGCTATGAGAAAGTTCAGCCTGTGCGGCTATATGAGCAAGAGAGTAGCCTGTGTGGCTATATATGAGCAAGAGAGTTCAGCCTGTGTGGCTACATATGTATGAGAGAGAGATAAGCCTGTCAGAGTTGAGTTTTGGTGTCTGAGAGACTGTGTGTGACGCCAAGCCTTGCCAGTTATATTTTCTTTCTTCAACAACAGTTCAGAAGTACCCAGAAACCTATTTTGTTCCTTTATAAATAAATCAATATTTGTTTAAACTTATCCCAGCAATCAGAACAGTCCTTCTTCAGGGCCACATAGTCCTCTGAAGCGCCCAGACACTGGGTCATTCTACCAAAATAGAGAGTTGGAATTTTTAATTCCTGGTGGCAGCAGAGATCTACTAAGTTCATGTACAAAGAGTGTGGTTTAAAGGAGAAACAGTCTCCCCAATAAGCGAGGACGCCACACCACTATTGTCTATTTGTAATGGGATGTTTTACTCCAGGATTTATCTAATAAAGGCTGTCTATCAAACTTTAAATCAGATAAGACAAACAAGGTAGTTGTGGGTTCTGTGCTTTGAACTAAGACCAGAAACCCAGGAAAGAAACCTTTAGAGAGCCTGCCTTTTATTCAAAAAAATAGTTACCTTCCTTAGGCAAGACGTCACAAAATAAAAGCATGTGAGAATTAACACTCTAACTCAAGAGGTGCTGAACTCATTTGTTATCAGGGCTGGATCTGACATAAAGGGCACTTTGTCAGACCAGGCCGTGGGTGCCATAAAATGTAACATGCGGGACCGGAGATATAAACTTTATAAAGATGATTACAGATGCCAAATGGCAAAAGGAGGCTTTATTGGATTAGGTGTGATATGCAGAGAGGTAGTAGGTGTGGCGATATTAGAAACCTAGGTCTCAATTTGGTCCAGGAGGATTCAAAGAATAAATGGAAACAAGCCTGAAGTGAGCAGTTACTCATGAAAGCTCATACCCTACCACAACTTTGTTAGTCTTTAAGGTGCGACTGGACTCTTATTCTTTCTACTGCTACTAGAAACCACAACATTCAAAAACTGGTGGGGGAACATTTTAACCTTCCAGGACATTCAGTTTCTGACCAAAGAGTAGCAGTTCTCTTACAAAGGAATTTAAAAAGGAGATTAGAGAAACTGATAATGAAGCTCAAGACGATGCATCCTCCTGGACTGAATTGAGAGCTAGGCTTCTTCTCTCATTACCAGTGCCTACTATTGTCATTTGCCATCTGAAACTACTTCACTCTCCAAAATACAAGGACAGATGGACTCACATTCTAGCTGTATCTGAAGACATGAGCAGTGACTCATGAAAGCTCATACCCCGCCACAAATTTTGTTAACTGTTCAGGTGGATGGGAGCCCTGCAGGGGATGGTTCCGGCCTGTGGGTCATCTGTTTGACACCCCAGCACCAGCTACTGTAAACAGAAGCACTGAACTTATCAAAGCTTCTAATAGTAAGTAAAATTTTAAAGCAAACCAGGTTTCGGGTTACTATATTAAAACATAGGGATTTTCATATAAACCCAAGGCACACACACTCAGTAATGTCTCCTAATCTACTGAGACTTCCAGAGAAACCTGATTTGCTTATCGCGGTAAAGCCGTTTTTACAAAAAAAAATCAGTCTTATCTTACCGTAAAGCTTTTCTATCTTAATCATGTGATTATTATCTAGGTAAATTACTGGTTCTTAACTATGTAGGAGATAATCCAGCAGGTGCATTTAAAAATACATCTGATATGTCCTTATTATCTTTCCTAAAGCGAGACAGGGAAGCTAAACTTAAGCTCTCAATCTCTATTAAGAGACAATACATCTAGTATTTCTGTAACTGTTTCAACTAACTCTCAAAAGGTTAAAGGGAAACCTTATGCAACCAGTAAGATGCTGAACTGCAGGCTGTGAAAGGTCGGTAGTTCAGCAGTTCGAGACCCGAATGTGCCGCATGACGGAGTGAGCTCCCGTCTCTAGTTCCCGCTCCTGCCAACCTAGCAGTTCGAAAGCAAGACATTGCAAGTAGATAAATAGGTACCACTTCGGTGGGAAGGTAACAGCGTTCCGTGCGCCTCAGTGTTTAGTCATGCCGGCCACATGACCACGGAAACGTCTTCGGACAGCGCTGGCTCTTCGGCTAGGAAACGCAGATGAGCACCGCAACCCGAGAGTCGGATTCGACTGGCTTTCGAGCAAGGGAACCTTTACCTTTACCTTTTTATGGCAACCAGACAGCTGAACCTGGCACGAGCTCGCCATTACAGGAAAACAGGCATGCTCAGCAAGAAAGGTTGATGATACAACCAAAACACCGCTACACATTCAGACTGGCAGCGGCTCTCCAGGGTCTCAGGGAGCGGTCTTTCACATCACCCACTGCCTGATCCTCTCTTAAGTAGAGGAACGAAGGGGGAAAGGTTGCGGCTGTATGTCTGAACAGCCACAGAGGAGGCACACCTCATAGGGTTGCTTTTGGTGGGGATGGAGCAGTGGGGGGGGGATGGTATGTCGACCTGAGGGACCGCCTTTCCCCACATGTTCCCCCAAGAGCACTACGGTCGGGGCCCCAAAATTTGTTGGACATCCCGGGCCCCAAGGATGCCAAATCAGCTGTGACTAGGGCCAGGGCTTTTTTGGTGGTGGCTCCTACCTGGTGGAATGAACTCCCGGGGGAGATCCGGGCCCTGCGGGACCTTATGCAGTTCCACAGGGCCTGCAAGACGGAGCTCTTCCGCCAGGCTTTTGAGTAGGAGCCGCCGCCCCACTATACCATCACCGCCATTGCACCTAAAGGACGTCCGGCGAGGCCCTGAGGAAGAACTTGGGAATGTTTAGAAGATCCTGGAGAAGAACTGAGCTGAGCCATCTTGGACTTACGTTTAGTAATTGACTGAGCACCACTGTTTTAATGCTGGATGTTTTTATTATGTATCATATGTTTTAATTATGACTCGGTTTTACCTTGCCTTTGTGAGCCACCCTGAGCCCATTGGGGAGGGCGGGATATAAATATGAAAAATAAATAAATAAATAAATAAGATCTTCAGAGTTAGGACGGGGGAAAAGAAGACGCCAAGAGTGAGAGATGGATCGTAGCTGTGCTTAGCTGCTGAGGCTAGGTGTATGGAGGGGTGCTGAAAAGCTACCTTATTTATGTGCTAGGAAGACGACTTGTTTCCTAAAAGTGTTACATATACAAAAAGTAACTAATTTGTATGGAAATGTAAGGAAGCACACACACATCCTTCACAGTACCCCTTGGAAAAACCCTCATCTTGCATACGATTAAATACATTTATTGGGACTCTTGTGGGACTCAATTGCTTTCCACTGCTAGGAATCAACTGTTTTTACTTGTACTTTGAGTTAAAAAAAAAATGTTTAAATGGGTTTGCCTGTGACATTTATAAAGTTTGTATTTCTGGTACCTAGCGTCACATTTTATGGCACACCTGGCGGGGCCCAACAAAGCGATATTTACGACAGATCCGGCCCTCATAATAAATGAGTTCAACGCCTCTAGTCTAAAGGGTGGAAAGGCAGCATACAAATATTTTAAATATTATCCCCATAATAGCCTCCAAACGTAGCAAAACCTGCAGAGAGAAAGAGAAAGGCATTTGACCGACTGACCTCGAGAGATTTACTTTCGTATTCCTTCATGGCCGTAATACACTGATGTTTTGTGCTGATGTTTGTACTGACTCCGGATTTGACCATTGTGTCAGTGCCAGTCGGCGGCTGCAAGACAAAACGGGACAGGCATCAAGACTAAGGCAGAGTCTCGGTTCCCGGGGGGGGGGGGACGCCTGGCGCGAGGAATCTTGCAAGCAGTTGGTTATTACTAGGCAGAGTGGCGACGGTTTTGCCAGCACCCCAAGCGGATGCACAGTAGACTGACGAGACTTTAAGAGGAGCCAGATAGGGGCTGAGGGAAATTTTTTTTGCTCAGAATTTTTGATCCGCTACGAAGCTTGCCGCGTGGCCCAAGTCCATCGGGAGGTTTCTGAGCCCCTTGAGGCAAGGAGATCTTTACGCACTGCAGGACTTTGCTTGCCTTAGTGCACACCGAAGGCAGGCGCTTCCCCATCTTCTTGGTATGCAAAGACATCATGCCTCCGCCTCTGGTTTGCCCCATTCTAGGCCAGCTCTGCCATGAAGCAGCTGTACCACCAAGGCAGCCCACATTTGCTTGGACTCTGCCCGCTGCTGCTCCAGAATACGCTTAAACTGTCCGCTGCAGATGAGAGAGGACCACATCTGGGCCATCTTCTGCTCCACCAACTGCTACGGAACCCTCAGAATCGCCCACCCTTAAAGGGACCACTGCCCTCAGAGGAGAGTCGTGCAAATGAACAACAAATCATAGAATGTTAAGAGTTGGAAGGGGCTCTTAGATATTGATCTGCAAAGGTTACACCCTACCCAACCTCATATCTGTTCACCTCTCTAACCATTCAGGCAAGATGCCCCAATATTTTTACAATCTCGACATCCCTCTTCATTGCAGAGCTTTTCTTCTGGCCAGGGTTAACGCATTTCCCTCTAGAATACTCTATGGCAGATATCATCAAATCCCAAGACGAGAACGGCTGTGCCCCTGTGATCTCAACTCCCTGGACACGGTTGAGCATATAATTATCAAATGCCCCCCTGTATGAGCTACCTCGCAGAAAATTCCTTCTGACTTGGCTTCATCCTAAAAGTTATTTGGGTAACAAGTTAAAATGTCAACTTCTCTTGAATGATTCGATCCCCGAGATCACTAATGATGTTGCCAAGTTTCTTACCGAAGTTCCTAAGGTACAAATTTTTAGATAGTACTATTTTGATTGGACTAAATTTGTATGTAAATTTGTCCTACACTAAGGTACCTTATGACTAACTAGAAAAAAGGCCCGTTGTGGAAATAAATACAACGGCCTCTAGAAAGAGGCTCTGGGCGGGTGCCCCGGCCTTGGACACTCAGTTTGCTGTGGCGACCTCAGCAGGGTATAATGACATTGAGTCCACCATTTTCTCCAGAGGAACTGATCTCTGCTACCTAAAGAACAGTTGTAATTTTGAGTGATCTCCAGCCCTCACCTGCAGATTGGCAACGATGGTTCCCCAGAAGGGAATGGTTGGTTTGGAGGGTGGAGTACCTGAGGTCCCACGCCTCCTGAAACCTCACCCTCTCCAGGCTCCATCCCTCACATCTCCAGGAATTTCCCACCTGGAGTTGGCAACCCTATCTCCTTCCCAGCCAATCATCAACCGACCTTTATTTCGCCCTCACTCTTCAGCTTTCTACCCCCCCACACACCTGCAGCCTCTCCCGTGCTCTGAAGCCCTGACTGCTGCGTCACATTGGCTGCCATAAGGGGGCCACCTCAGCAGCATAGAAGGATACAGAGCCCACCATTTTCTCCAGGGGAACTGATCTCTGCCATCTGGAAAGCAGTTGTAATTCTGAGTGATCTCCAGCCCTCACCTGGAGATTGGACACATTTTACCTCAGAACAGCAAACTGTTTAGAATGTTAGAGGCAAAAGCCAATGAAGTCACACATGCAAACAACCTCTGTGTTCCGAGGCAAAGGCCAATGAGGCTGCATATGCAAATAACCTCTGTGTTCTGACTGGCTATAGGGGGGAGAGGAACAGCAAACTGTTTAGAATGTTGGAGGCAGGACTCAGGCAAAGCAGCCAGTGGATAGGGAGACCCTCTGAATGACAGATCAGAGAGCGAACTGATTTTGGAGCGTGTGGAATGTTCTAGAGAAGTGCCACCACCATTCGGCTTTTATTTATAAGGGATATATGATATGCCAATAAAGGTCTATGAATGAATGAATGAATGAATATCTACTCTCTTCCCATACCAGAGGCTGTCTGCCTCTTTGTCTCAGTGGCTGGGGAGGACGGGCGGGAAGATGCTGCCGCCGTCCTCCTGCTTGTGGGCTCTCGAGAGGCAGCTGGTCGGCCACTGGGTGAGACAAGAACGCTGGACTTGACGAGCCTTTGGTCTGATCCACCACGGCTCTTCTTAGGTTCTTATGGGAATCACGGGCCCCTCGACACAAGAGTTCACGGAACGGAATGGCCCAGCACGAAGGTCAGAGCCCGTCTTTTAAAAAGCAAATAAAATAGGACTTGCATTGAATTTAATGGTGGTGCCCGTTGGAACAGCCGTAAAGCTCGTCGATCCGAAGAGGGAGCCGGACGTACCCCCAAACGGGTTGGAGGTGGTGTTTGTGGTTCCAAATAAACCGCCACTGCTCGTACTTGTCCCAAAGTCTGTAAGAAAGAAAGAAAAAAATGGAAGTCAGTATCCAAATGGAAGGAGACCGCTTCAGAGCCAGAGCCTGATGACACTTCTGAACGTAGGACGAAGCGACGCAAGACAGCCTGGAAGTGCTAACGTTCAAGCTCGTCGGGTCTACAGTGAAGGACGCCATCACGTTTCCAAGAACGACTCTGCCTTTCTACTTTCAGCCTAGAAATCGGTGCCATTCAGGCAGTCTGCTCCCGAGAAGAAAAGAAGTCTGTTTCTGTAGATTCAGGTGAGCGGTCATGTTGGTCTGGAGCAGCGGAACAAAGTTCAAGGCAAGTGGCGCCTTTAAGGCCAACAAAGTTATAAAACTTAATGCTCCCTCTAAGCTGTGGAGTCTTGTGAGCAAAAAGTCTACTTGGTGAGCTCGACTGGCATTGAAGTGGTGAGCCGGTGATTTGGCTGTTGCATAAATTAGCTTGCTCTGGAGCCATCTCTCCTGAGCGAAAGCAAAAATGTGTGAGCCGGTGGCTAAAAAACTGTGAGCTAGCTCACACTAACTCAGCTTAGAGGGAACACTTGCACACTTCTTCATAGAATCGTAGAATGTTAGAGTTGGAAGGGACCTTGCAGGTCATCCAGTCCAACCCCCTGCACTCTGCAGGAGCACAGCCGAAATATAGCCCTACGACATACCCGAGAGATGGTCGTCCAGCCTCCACGTGAAAACATCCAGCAGAGGAGCATCCACCACCTCCCGAGGCAGACTGTTCCACTGCTCAACCACTCTGACAGTTAGAAAGTTTCTCCTGATATTGCGCTGGTAACGACTCCCTTGTAATTTCCACCCATGAGATTTAGTCTCGCAATCCGGAGCAAGAGAGAATAGATCTGCTCCATCTTCCACATGACATCCCTTCAAATACTTGAACACTGCAATCATGTCCCCTCTAAGCCGCTCTGAGACTGTGTCTGTGTCAAATGCTACCAGCTGCATTGCACGAGAAGCCCGAGGTGAGGTTGGCTGGGGGCGGGGGGGGGGTGAACTGTGGCCCCAGGACTTATGGGACCAAAGGGTAAGAGGTTACTCTTTGGGGGCAGTAGTATTTTGCTTGTGGTGGCGAAGTTTCGGACAGAGGTCAGCTGGTGACGTAACAGGGACACCTGTGAACAGGTGAAGCTGTCTTTGAGAGCCAGTTTGGTGTAGTGGTTAAGTGTGCGGACTCTAATCTGGGAGAACCGGGTTTGATTCCCCACTCCTCCACTAGATGACCTTGGCCAAGCCGTACTCCTGACAAGAGCTGTCCTTGGAAAAGAGCCATTTCTGTCAAGAGCTCTCTCAGCCCCACTTAGCTCACAGGGTGTCTGTCTGTTGTGGGAAGGGGAAGGAGTTTGTGAGCCGCTCTGAGACTCCTCTGGGTAGTGAAGGGCGGGGTATAAATCCAATCTCTTCTTCTTCTATATGCCCAATTTCCCAGAAGTAGGTGCACCTCAATCTAGGTGCCCTCAAGGAGGTTGCAGTATTCCTAGTCAGCTTAACCTTGCGGGGCATTCACAAAAAGCAATCTCATGCCATACGCTTAAATACTCTGACAAAGTCAGGATACACAGCCCCAAGGACACGTGTACTCCATGGAAAGCTGCTTATCAAATATTTATTTCCCCCACTGAAGAGAAGAAGAAGAAGAGATTGGATTTATACCCCGCCCTTCACTTGGGAGTCTCAGAGCGGCTTACAAACTCCTTTCCCTTCCCCTCCCCACAACAGACACCCTGTGAGGTGGGTGGGGCTGAGAGAGAGCTCTGACCGAAACTGCTGATTTTCAAGGACAGCTCTGAGAGAACTGTGGCTTGCCCAAGGTCACCCAGCTGGCTGCAAGTGGAAAAGTGGGGAATCAAACCCGGTTCCTCCCAGATTAGAGTCTGTGCCCTTAACCACTACACCAGACTGGCTCTCCCTCACTGAAAACTTCCCACGAAGGGCAAGCCGCTTCGTGCCACTGGAATCCACAGACTTTGTAATGAAACCTCAAGAACAAGCTAGAGGGAAAGCAGACTTAACAGCTGCACGTTTCCCCTCAGCGAAACAATTCCCAGAGCTTACTGTTTGGGGGGGAGAAGAATTATTGGAACTCACTGCCAAACCCCACGGGTTTACTCTGTGCAAAGGCATTGTTCTGGGATGAGAAGAGGCCTCCACCAGTGCTCGCAGTCCCAAATAAGCCGCTGGACGTTCCTGTTGACGTTCCAAACCCAAAGCCGGTGCTTGTGGAAGACGTGGCTGGCTGGCTGAACGTGCTCGAACCAAACAGTCCTCCTGAAACCAGAAACGGGAACCAGGATTAAAATACCGAAGAGTCACAACGAAAGAATTCTGGCAACGGAGTGAGCGGCGGCTGCAGTCCTTGTACCTGGCTTGGCCTGCGTGTTCCCAAAGAGTCCTCCTGTGTTATTGTTTGTTCCAAAAGCAGACGTCCCAAACGCTCCTCCGCTCGTCGTGCCGAAGCCTGTATCTGTAGAGCAATCATAGGTGGTGGGCAATGAGACGGCGCAGCTGGGCGCGAGGGAAGGTTTAAATTGCTAGGGAAGGGGCAGGTGCATCCTTCCCCACAGGAAATTAACTCAAAGTAGAACGTTTACTGAAACCACTTGGCAAACCAACTGTGCAAAAGATAAGACGTGATAATTCAGAGGAACAGAACTGACAGCCCAACAAAAATACTGTATTTTCCGGGCTGTGTGGCCGTGGTCTTGGTATTGTAGGACCTGACGTTTCGCCAGTAGCTGTGACTGGCATCCTCAGAGGTATAACACAAAAAGATGGAGTGCTCTCTCTGTGTCACACTCCATCTTTCTGTGTTATACTTCTGAGCAGGGCTTTTTTTGTAGAAAAAGCACAGCAGGAACTCATTAGCATAACAGGCCACACCCAACAGCAGAAACACATTAGCATATTAGGCCACACCCCTAACAGAGCAGCTCATTAGCATATTATGCCACGCCCCCACATTACCAGAAGTGTGGTCATCCAGCCACACTCACCTTTTCCTTCTTATTCTGTTTACCTTGTTTGTTGTCAAAACCCAGGGCCTTTTTTTTGTAGCAGGGACTCCTTTGCATGTTAGGCCACAAACTCCTAATGTAGCCAGTCCTAATGAGTTTCGGCTGTTGGGTGTGGCCTATTGTGCTAATGAGTTCCTGCTGGGCGTGGCCAACTCTGGAGGCAGCCGGAACTCCGTTCCTGTGCGTTCCTGCCCAAAAATAGCACTGCTTCTGAGGATGCCAGTCACAGCTACTGGCGAAACGTCAGGTCCTACAATGCCAAGACCACAGCCACGCAACCCGGAAAATCTATAACAGCTAATGAACTCCAGCCGTGAAAGCCTTCGACAGCATATTAGTTTTTTTTAGTCTAACTTACATCAAAGCCAAAGGTCCAAGTTATAGCATTTAGATAGGAAATCTCAACTGACCATTCCCACAATTAGTATCAACAATACATACTCTGGCCAAAAGTTGACGTCGTCCCAAAGCCCCCCGTGCTGCTTCCAAAAGGCGTCCCAAACGATTTGTTAAACATTTTGAAGTTGCGTCAGGTTCTCAAAACCTAGAACAAAAGAAAAGACGTTAACTAATCCACTTCAGGAAAAAAAGTTATGTCCAGCTCCATTCAGATAAATACAAAGAGACCTCCCAGTTGCAAAGGATCAAAGTTACAGAGTCAACCGGGGAAACGTAACATATGCAAAATATAATTTTATACAATGTGAAAATAATTGATAAAGTGTTACATACATAAATTACCAAAAGGTTACATATAAGAGAATTACAATATATTATATTAACGAAGCTTCCTTTAGACCCGGCATTGCTCCTCCTTGGCCACTGGTCGTCAGATGAACCTCCTTGCCCCCTTGCGAGGGATGTTGTGCGAAGAGACGGTGGGACTGGACGGGGTGGGGGCTGCTGAGAGGAGCAACGGAACGGGCATTCCGCTGACTCCGCTCCTGCTGCCAAGAAGGAGCAACGCCGGGTCTAAAGAAATGTAAGCCTTTACAAGCAACAAAAAGGACTGAAGAATAAAAGAGACGGCACTCAGCTAATGCAAGTTGTTGAATGGGAGAATTTACTTCTGAGGAAGCATAGAATCGATACGGAGACACAAGCCGGAACCTTTGTTAATATAATATATTGTAATCCTCTTATATGTAACCTTTTGGTAATTTATGTATGTTAACACTTTATCAATTATTTTCACATTGTATAAAATTATATTTTGCATATATTACGTTTCCCCAGCTCCATTCAGAAACACGCCAAATGCAGCCATTAATGCCACCCCATGCAGAACAGGATCCTGGTAGAAGCAGCAAGCTCTGCAGCAGCAGACACCGGCTCTAGAAGGTCAATACACGGGAGGGCTAAAATAAAACTGCGTTCCTAGATCGGGCACTGCTGAATGATGGTCACCGACACCTGACAACACAACTGAAATCTTATCACTGCCAACCACCTTAAATCCAACAAGAATACAATCTTTCTCTCCCTTGAATGAAGGTTTTAGGGAGCTAGAAACGTGCCTTGCTGGTTTTCTTAGTCCATCACTCCACGACAGGTCAATATTATGTGACAGTATCACATAGGATGTGGTTTGTTTGACTTTAATGGCTTTAAGATGTGTTTGTTACGTATATTTTTAATCTGTTGGCCACCTTGGTGGCCCTGAAGAGGGCAAAACAGCCCAGTATACATTCTGTAAACAAGTAACTGGCATCAGTGAATGAAGGGAGGAGCTTGCAGGCGCCATTTTCACTGCTACTAGCCACGTGGGTGAAGCCACAACCAGGGCTGCTATGGAGTGGTTGTGCTTATAGGTCTCAGTTGGATTAAATAACTTCTTGGCATCTGAAGAAGTGAGCAGAGATTCACGAAAGCTCCTACCCTGCCACAAATTTTGTTAGTCTTGAAGGTGCTCCTGGACTTTTGCTGTTTTGTACTGTATACTACTTCTTGCAAGCATTATTACGTTGCTTTGTGGATGGTACATATTACAGAAAAGAGCTGCCAGAATCAATTTTATGCCATTAAGCCTGAACGATCTCCAAAACGTCTTATTGTTAAAAGCAAACTGGGGGGCCTGGCTTCTGATTACTGTAAAACAATTCATGCAGCTGAACCTCTACATCCAAATACTAATTACTGCCCAGCAACTATGTTTGACTGAATCAAGCACAGTTCTTAGAACCTGATACTAGAAAAGGTAAAGGTCTCCCCTGCTCAAAAGCTAGTCGAATCTGACTCTAGGTGGCGGTGCTCATCTCCATTACCAAGCCGAAGAGCCAGCTCTGTCCGAAGACTTCTCCGTGGTCATGTAACTGGCATGACTAAACGCCGAGGCACACGGAATGCTGTTACTTTCCCACCGCAGCGGTATGTATCTACTTGCGGTTTCTTGCTTTCGAACTGCTAGGTTGGCAGGAGCTGGGGCCAGAGATGGGAACTCATTCCGTCCTGCAGCACTCGGGTCTTGAACTGCCGACTGACTGACAGACCTTCCGGTCTGCAGTTCAGCGTCTTAACCTTTGAGCCACCTCTACATCCAAATGACTAATGACTGCCCAGCAACTATGTTTGACTGAATCAAGCAGAGTTCTTAGAACCTGATGCTGGAAACGTACTTTTAAAATGTTGCAGGATGGAAAACATCTTCAGGTATTTAACTGAGGAATACAATTTGGGTGCCACCCTTATCGCTCCTGCAACACAAGGACGAGAAGACCTTTACACAAGGCAGCCCAGCTCCTCCGGGTATCCCCCTTCCTCCCACTCTCATATATTCCGTAAAGGTAAAGGTCTCCCTTGTTCGAAAGCCAGTCGAGTCCGACTCTAGGGTTGCGGTGCTCATCTCCGTTTCAAAGCCGAAGAGCCAGCGCTATCCGAAGACGTTTCCGTGGTCATGTGGCCGGCATGACTAAACACAAAGGCGCACGGAACGCTGTTACCTTCCCACTGAAGTGGTACCTATTTATCTACTTGCAATTTCTTGCTTTCGAACTGCTAGGTTGGCAGGAATATATTCCGTACCAATAGAAATAAACTGGTGAATGCTTGGAAGTAAACACACACGGTTAAGGAGCCAAAAAACATATGGAATGGTTGTGAAACTTGTAACAGTACAAACCCAAGGCATAAAGAAAGAAATATCAACAGGTTCGGAGACGATATTTCACTTCTTGGGCTTGTTTCCATTTAAAAAAAAATTATGAAGCTCAAAATGGAGAATCAGAAGTTGTAGATCTTTCAGACACTGACTCTCATTACAGAAAAACTATGGTTTACTTTTACTAGTGTTTTCGGAGATGTTAGTACCTAATTTTGCCTACATTATGGATAACAATTAGACACTACTAGAATTCAAAATTAACATCCTAATGAATTGCTACTTATTACCTATGTTATAAAGAAGAGATTGGATTTCTACCCTTCACAACCCAAAGGAGTCTCAGAGCAGCTTACAAACTCCTTTCCCTCCCCACAACAGACACCCACCCTTTGGGGTGGGTGGGGCCGAGAGAGCTCGGAGAGAAACTGCTCTTTTTCAAGGACTATGGCTTGTCCAAGGTCATCCAGCCAGGTGCAAGTGGAGGAGTGGGGTTCTCCCAGATTTGAGTCCACTCACTTAACTACTACTCCAAAAGATATTACTTCACTTCATTCTCTAAATATGTGAACTTCTTCTGTTTTTCTGGGTGTCATCATTGTACCATTTCTAAAAAAACATTTTAAAACTACCTTTTTTCATTTTCAGCTTCTGTTAGACTTTTTCCTACTTTTCCAAACAGCAAAATGTTATGCTCAGGTAGCATACGTGCTCATATCTAACACCGTACACTCTGACAGTGTCTGAATGCAAATCAAGTCACATGCATAGCAATTTATTTGAAGAAGTTCCCCATAGTTCTTGGAACTATGTGCTTGAGGCAGGAAACACATCACAGTCTATAATTTTATGTGCTGAGTTACAAACGTGATGCAAGTAATGAAGCCAATATAATTTTCTTTCCTCACAGACTTCAAATTTCCCAAAACTTTACTAAGACACACACAATTTGTAACACTCCAAGCAGCCAACATCAGTATCCTCATACCTGGAAGTATAAGATGGCCATTCTTAGCAAACTCTCCATCCCAAAAAATCCACAGATATAAACCATTCTTTCCTTCACATATATGCATTCAAGTTATGAACGCACACAGAGAGAACATTCAAGGAAGAACAACTACACCTATTAATATACCAACATCTTCTGACTCTATAATCTTGAGAGAGAGAGGTGTCAAGAGATTACCAGGCTATATTGCTGGGGAAACAACATCTACTGTACAGCTTCCAGGATACCCAACAGCTTTAAAACCATCCAGCATGCCTTTCAATCCCGTGTTATGTGGTAACAACGAACTGCCCCCTCAAGCCACCCGACAGTACCATACTGCAGCCATCTTTGGGGGAAGGTGTTGCAGCAGATTGGCAGAGTACATTTAGGAGATCCCAGGTTTAGTCCCTAGCCTCTCTCACAGCTTCGTTTTTATCAAGATGGGTAGCAGTGTTAGTCTGCGGCAGTAGAAAAGAGCAAGAGTCCTGTAGCGCCTTAAAGACTAACAAAGTGTGTGGCAAGGGATGAGCTTTCGTGAGTCACTGCTCATTTCTTCAGATACAGCTAGAATGTGAGTCCATCTGTCCTTATATCACAAAGTTGATGGATTTCCATTCTGCAGGGCTAAATGTGGTGCTTCCATGGACATAGGTCTAGATGGGGAGGCGTGTTACATCTGTCTGTAGCAGGAGAAAAGAGCCAGAGTCCAGGAGCACCTTCAAGACTAACAAAACATGTGCCAAACTATGAGCTTTCGTGAGTCACTGCTCACTTCTACAGACACAGCTAGAATAAGATCAAGATGGGCAGGCGTGTTAGTCTGTCTGGAGCAGTAGAAAAGAACAAAAGTCCAGCAGCATCTTAAAGACTAACAAAATATGTGGCAGATCAAGATGGGGAGCTGCGTTAGTCTGTCTGTAGCAGTAGAAAAGAGCAAAAGTCCAGCAGCATCTTAAAGACTAACAAAATATGTGGCAGATCAAGATGGGGAGCTGCGTTAGTCTGTCTGTAGCAGTAGAAAAGAGCAAAAGTCCAGCAGCATCTTAAAGACTAACAAAATATGTGGCAGATCAAGATGGGGAGCTGCGTTAGTCTGTCTGTAGCAGTAGAAAAGAGCAAAAGTCCAGCAGCATCTTAAAGACTAACAAAATATGTGGCAGATCAAGATGGGGAGCTGCGTTAGTCTGTCTGTAGCAGTAGAAAAGAGCAAAAGTCCAGCAGCATCTTAAAGACTAACAAAATATGTGGCAGATCAAGATGGGGAGCTGCGTTAGTCTGTCTGTAGCAGTAGAAAAGAGCAAAAGTCCAGCAGCATCTTAAAGACTAACAAAATATGTGGCAGATCAAGATGGGGAGCTGCGTTAGTCTGTCTGTAGCAGTAGAAAAGAGCAAAAGTCCAGCAGCATCTTAAAGACTAACAAAATATGTGGCAGATCAAGATGGGGAGCTGCGTTAGTCTGTCTGTAGCAGTAGAAAAGAGCAAAAGTCCAGCAGCATCTTAAAGACTAACAAAATATGTGGCAGATCAAGATGGGGAGCTGCGTTAGTCTGTCTGTAGCAGTAGAAAAGAGCAAGAGTCCACCAGCATCTTAAAGACTGACAAAATATGTGGCAGACCAGGATGGGTCACCGTGCCAGTCTGCCTGTAGCAGTAAAAAAGAGCAAAAGTCCAGCAGCATCTTAAAGACTAACAAAATATGTGGCAGATCAAGATGGGGAGCTGCGTTCGTCTGCCTGTAGCAGTAGAAAAGAGCAAGAGTCCAGCAGCATCTTAAAGACTAACAAAATATGTGGCAGATTAAAATGGGGAGCTGCGTTCGTCTGTCTGTAGCAGTAGAAAAGAGCAAAACTCGAGCAGCATCTTAAAGACTAACAAAATATGGGGCAGACCAGGATGGGTCACCGTGTCAGTCTCTGCTCACCGCTTCAGAAAACTCACCCCCTGCCACATATGTTGTTCGGTTTTAAGGTGCCACTGAACTCTTGCTCTTCCCCTACTAAAACACGTGGCAGGCTGCGTTCCCTCTAAGCTGAGTTGGTGTGAGCCGGCTCGCCGTTTTTCAGCCTCCGGCTCACACGTTTCCGTCTCAGCTCAGGAAGGGGATGGGACTCCAGAGCCAACTCTCATGTATGCAGGCGCCAAACGGCTCACTCACAACTTGAATGCCAGCGGCTCACAAATTAAGAATTCTTGCTCACAAGACTCCACGGCTTAGCGGGAGCCTTGGTGGCAGCCGGGTCGACGAGCTTCCGTGAGTCAGTCCTCCCTCCTTCAGATACAGGCAGAAACGAGACTTGTTGGGCGAGTCTGTCTCTCTCTCTCTCAGCCTAACCTACCTCGCAGGGGTGGTTGTCGCGGGGGATAAAAGAAGACATCAATTACGTAACCCACTTGGGGGGGGTACCCACGAGGTCCTCTACTCGTGCCGCGCTCGGCGGTGGAGTTCTCAGCACCCCCCCCACTCCCGGCCTTCCCAGAATCCCGCGCGGCCCCGCCCACCCTCCCCTCGCCGACTGCTCAAGGCCGGGCCGGGCCCAACCGGAGCAGAAGCCGGGGTTCCCACCTCAGCTGGGCCTCTGGCGGCGCGGGGCCTCGGGCCGGCCGGTCAGCGGCGCCTCCCCCAGCAGAAGCGGCGGCGCCTCCACAACACCCGCCTCAGCCGTCGTCGCCTCGCCGCGAAAGGGGGGTGGGGGGGGAGAAACTGCGTCACACACCGACGCACGCAGCCGTCCTCATAATGCCCGTCCGCGCTCCGCCTCTCTGATTGGACGGCCGCGGCCGCCGCTTCCGCCGATTGGTCAGTGGAGGGGGAAGCGGGAGCGCGCCCGCCGCAACGCGCCCCTTCGGCGGCGTCTGACGTCACGCCGCAAAGAGCCCGCCCCACCCGATTGGCGGAGAACGTCGTCAGGGGCTTGTTGCTGGGGCTGAGCGGCCGACGGGAAGGTCCGAGCGGGCTGAGCGCGAGGGGCGGACATCCGGGACGCCGGGAAGTACGTCAGCTCTTGGGTGGGGCTTTTCTTCCCCCCCTCCAAGTGGGAGGGGCAGGCCGGGGCCGCCAATCGGGGCAGGGCTCGGTTTCCATGACAGCCGTTGGGGGGGAAATAGCACCGCCCCTGGGATGAAGGGTGGGGGCGGTAGGTCAGTGTTTACCTGTGAGTAAGGCCTTGGAGTTCAATGGGGTTTCCTGCAGGGCGTGTACCGCACAGGCTCAGGGGCGTGAAGGTGCTGTTGCCAACCTCCTGGCGGGGCCTGGACCTCCCCTGAAATGACAACTGAGCTCCAGGCAGAGAAAAAGTATTTTATTGACTGGAAAGATTTCTCAGGCGCCTGGCAGACGTGCCTAAAGCCCTATGGAAAGTCAATAGAAAGCTTACCAAAGCAGTTTCTTCATAAGGAAAATATATACAGAATGTTCTATAGGTGGCATAGGACTCCTGAGAATCTAGCTAAATGGTATCCCAATAGGTCAAATGTCTGTTGGGAACCTAACCGAAAAACTGGTTCTTTCTATCATATGTGGTGAACACTTGTGATGTTGTAAAGAAATACTGGATATGGATACATGAGACAGTACAAAAAAAAATCTTAACATGAATGTACCTTTTATAAAGTAAAGGTAAAGGTTCCTCTTTGCTCGAAAGCCAGTCGAGTCCGACTCTAGGGTTGCGGTGCTCATCTCCGTTTCCAAGCTGAAGAGCCAGCGCTGTCCGAAGACGTTTCCGTGGTCATGTGGCCGGCATGACTAAACGCCAATGGATACATCTCACGCGGGCGGGCAAAGCAAACAGGCAAAACAAAAGCCATTAACCTTCCCAGCCGAGTGAAACTGCAGCTGGAGCATCTTCAATGTCAAGCATGAGATAGCAAACAGTTGGTGAGCACGGAACGCTGTTCCCTTCCCACCGAAGTGGTACCTATTTATCTACTTGCAATTTCTTGCTTTCGAACAGCTAGGTTGGCAGGAGCTGGAACTAGAGACGGGAGCTCACTCCGTCATGCAGCACCTGGGTCTCGAACTGCTGAACTACCGACCTTCCACAGCTTGCAGTTCAGCGTCTTAACCACTTGAGCCACCGCAGCTTTTATACCAGAATTGTTTTTACTAAATATGGTTCCACAAAAATATAACACAGGGTGTCAGGGTCCTTAGTCAGGTTGCACAACACAGGGCTTCATTAGAAGATAACTTTATGGGTAAATCCAGAACGAGAGACAAGTGTACAGCTTGTGTCAGCAATGGCCGCCAATACTGGGGCCTCTGACTTATACTAGAATCAAACATCCACCCTGGTAAGCATGAGCCAATGGATACATCTCCCGCGGGTGGGCAAAGCAAACAGGCAAAACAAAAGCCATTAACTTTCCCAGCTGAGTGAAACTGCAGCTGGAGCATCTTCAATGTCAAGCATAAGATAGCAAACAGTTGGTGAGCCAGGGAGAGCTGAGACAGAAAGGGGGGGGGGCACCCCTCCACATTCCGGACCTATGACAGGGCTACCTGACACAGGGGTCACTTCCTGCAGGAGCACACAGGAGCAGAGCTCCAGCAGTAAAGAGCCCAGGGGGCGGGCACATGCAACAAGCCCCACCCCCTGCTCCCAGCAGCCCTCAGTCACGGCAAGAAGCAGCCAGGTAAGTTGCAGAGCCCCCCCCCCCGCCCAAAACAGTCCAGTGGCACCTTTAAGACCAAGTTTTATTCAGGTACAAGCTCTCCCTCCTCTGCAAGGACAGATCTGCGGGTCCCCCCCCCCCAACAGCTAGCAATCCAAAACTATCCAGTGGAGCCTGAGCGGTGGGTGTTGCCTTCTGACACACTTCCGGTGATGTCAGGGGATGTTGCATATGTAAATGAGTTATGCTAATGAGCTCCTGCACCTCTTTTTCTACAAAATGAACCCTGGGTGGACTTGTGATGTTGCAGTTCTCCAGAGAGCTCTCTCAGCCCCACCTACCTCACAGGGTGCCTGTTGTGGGGCGGGGAAGGGGAAGGAGATTGTAAGCTTCTCTGGGACTCCTTTGGGTAGTGAAGGGCAGGGTATAAATCCAATCTCTTCTCTCTTCTCTTCCATACTACTTTGGCCTCATGTTCCAAGCCCTGCCCCATCCCTGCCGAACACACAAATACCTGAAGCTGCCTCATACTGAGTCAGACCACTGTTCTACCAAGGTCACTATTGTCTACTCTGACCGGCAGCAGCTCTCTAGGGCCTGGGAATCGTTCATATCCCCTACTGCTACCACCAAAGAACCAAGTGTGGGTCCTGAGCCACTGAATGAGTATCACACCCCCTTGCTTCATGAGAAGACTCCTGGTACCACTAGAGCAGGGGTCCTCAAACTTTTTAAACAGGGGGCCAGTTCACTGTCCCTCAGACCATTGGCGGGCCGGACTATAGTTTTTAAAAAAACTATGAACTATGCTGCCAAAGAGAAGCAAGTGCTGGAAACCAAGGCTATGTCACAAATGGAATGAACTGGGCAGATTCATCACCCAACCTGTCCCCAAGGACCTTATCACAATAGCAGTTTGAGCTCAGAAGCCTGGGGCTGCCCAGCTAAGGCTGACAGGTATAGCAGAGCCACAGTTAAAAAGGAGGCACTGGTTGCCTGAACTGTGGCTGACTGCAGGATGAATAAGCAGGAGTGTTGTGGCACCTTCAAGCCTAACAACATTTTAATTCAGCACAAACTTTCCTGGGCTGAACTCTGAAACCAGAATTAGTGGCAATAAAACCGTGTTAATCTTTAAAGTGCCCTAGGGGAGTTACTGCCTTTTAACTTGCGCGCCTTCCTTCCTTCCTTCCTTCCTTCCTTCCTGGGAGTCCCTTGGTCCTAGTGCCACGCCGAGGGATTTGAGCAGGAGTCTCTCCGCAGTCTCTCTGGGGGGTGAGTCGGGGGGCCGGATCCGGGCGGGGGGGAGTGTGGATCCGTGGCTGGGGGTGGGGGGCTGCCTCGTGGCGCCCGCGGGCAGAGGAGCGCGCACCGGGCGGGGAAGGGGGGACGCTGGATGGCAGGCAGGAAGCAGGCAGCGCCCCCCGCCCCCGAGACCACCTGGGCTGGCCCATCTAATCGCGACCCCCGGGAGGGCGGCCGGCCAGGAGGAAGGAGGGAGGGGGTCTGCCCTCCCCCTCCCCCCAGTAGCAGCCGGAGAGGGCCAAGGTGGCCAAGGCCAATGGGGATGTACTAAAAGGAAGGACAGGATTGCCCATTGGAAACAATGGGAGACGCTGGAAGACCCATTGGAAATAATGGGAGACGCTGGAAGACCCATTGGAAACAATGGGAGACGCTGGAAGACCCATTGGAAATAATGGGAGCTGGGAATGCCAATTGACTTGCATGGGCTCCATTGGAAAACATTATAGCACAAGTAGAGTTGCAATAAAAATGCGGAACGGATTTTCCATTAGGGTCTCTGGGCCCAAATACACTACTCTGGGGATGGAATGACAGTTTTAGTAGATCCCTCGGCCAATGTTCCCTCTAACCCGAGTGAGTGTGAGCCAGCTCACAGTGTTTCAGCCTCCGGCTCACACGTTTTTGTCTCGGCTCAGGAAGGAGGGCTCCGGAGCAAAGTGATTTGTGCAGCAGCCAAATCGCCCGCTCACAACTTTAGTGCCAGTCGCTTACCAAGTAGGATTTTTGGAGCCTTGGTCAAGGCTGCTGAAACAGACAACACCCCCCCCCCGAAAACCCTGGCCGGGAATGCCCGAGCGTGCCCCCGCCCTCCCCAATCTGGAATAGCCGCTGAAGCCAAGGAACAAAGCTGAAAGCCGGGGGTGGTTACAGGGAGGGTCCCCAACAGGTCTGGGGGCAGGTGACCACCAGTGTCCCCTCTAAGCTGAGTTAGTGTGAGCCAGCTCACAGTTTTTCAGCCTCCAGCTCTCAGGTTTTTCTCTTTGCTCAGGAAGGGGATGGCCCCGGAGCAAACCGATCGAGGCAGCAGCCCAGTCACTCGCTCACAAGACTCTGCAGCTTAGAGGGAGCATTGGCCCCCTCCAATGTTCCCTCTAAGCTGTGGAGTCTTGTGAGCAAAATTTTTACCTTGTGAGCTAACTGGCATTAAAGCTGTGAGTGAGCGATTTGGCTGCTGCATCAATTAGTTTGCTCTGGAGCCATCCTTCCTGAGCCAAGACAAAAATGTGTGAGCCGGAGGCTAAAAAATTGTGAGCTAGCTCACACTAACTCAGCTTAGAGGGAACACTGGCCCCCTCCACCTTTGAGGTGCAGAAATCAGCAGGTGGAGTTTTCAGAGGTTAAAAAGGCTCCCTCACTTTGTAAAATACTTTTTATTACGTTTTATGTTCAAACTCGTGGACACTCCATGAAATTGCTGAGCGGTCGGGTTAGAAATGATAAAAGGACGTTCTTCTTCACCCAAAGAGTGATGAACACATGGAATTCACTGCCACAGGAGGTGGTGGCGGCTACAAGCATGGACGGCTTCAAAAGGGACTTAGATAAGCATATGGAGCAGAGGTCCATCAGTGGCTATTAGCTACAAGGTATAGATAGGGACTCTGGGGCAAGTGATGCTCTGTTATCTTGGTGCTTGGGGGGGTCAACAGTGGGAGGGGGATTCTGGTGTCCTGGCCCCACCGCTGGACCTCCTGATGGCCCCTGGTATTTTTGGCCACTATGTGACACAGAGTGTTGGACTGGATGGGCCTTTGGCCGGATGCAACATTGACGTCTCTTAGTTGCTGTAGATTTTCCGGGATGTGTGGCCCGGAAAATCTACAGCAGCGAATGAACTCCGGCTGTGAAAGTCT